GCCTTTTTGATTTTTGACAAACAAACTGATAAAATCTATTCCATTCATTAATCGTCCCTCAATCTTCTTACTCAACTCCATCTTCTTCAGTGCCGCCTTTTTGATTTTTGACAAACAAACTGATAAAATCTATTCCATTCATTAATCNCGTCCCTCAATCTTCTTACTCAACTCCATCTTCTTCAGTGCCGCCTTTTTGATTTTTGACAAACAAACTGATAAAATCTATTCCATTCATTAATCATCCCTCAATCTTCTTACTCAACTACATCTTCTTCAGTGCCCCCAATCTCTGTAAGTGAAAAACAACTTGGCCATGGCTCCATTATCTGGAACATACGCACCATTACTGAACACATTGATCCATATCATTTCTATCATATGGGTTTTGATTTCTATGTCATCTTTTTTATCAAGCTTTTCAAAATGGTAGATGATAGTTTATTGTTGAAACCATCTTACTTTTTTTGTCATCTTTGATCTACGGAGATCTTTCCTACATTCATCATCTTGAAGATTTGCTAGGGTGTATATTCACAAGGTACCTAGTGAAATAACCCATCATGTACTATATAGTACTAACAAACAAAAATCATACTTTCGCATACATCGAGTATCAAAATTTACAAACATTTCATGTTTATATACATATGACAAACCAACAGTATGGGTTAACAATTTTTTTGTCATAATAAGGCTTTCTTCCAAAATTCCTTATATCTTCCCTTTGCTTTTATCCTGTGATGTTTGATGACCTGCAAAATAAATTATTGCAACAATTGAGGATTAGACCAAAAGGGTCTACTGAGTGAATCTCCTTCATGCAAATATAATCTACTGCAACAATCAAGATAATTCAAACCTGAATTCTAACAATAAAGTGACATCTCGGTTACACCGCCATTTCATCTATCGCGGTTACACCGTCATTTCATCTGTCGCGGTTACACCGCCATTTCATTTATGACATTACTGTGAGAAATAAGGGCCAATCGGGACAGTACTTTATTGGACAACACTTGGTCACATCCGGACAACACTTTGATCGGTGAAGAGGTTATCGGACAACACTTTATTGATGAAGAGGTTATCAGAAAACACTTGTTTGGTGAAGGATCCTTACCGGACAACACTTCGAGCGGTGAATAGTTTATCATAAAACACTTTATCGGCGAAGAGTCCTTACTAGACAACACTTAATCGATGAGGGGCCTGTAACACCTCATTGTACATATTGCATGTAACATATATTTCATACACAAGAGATACATGTTTATACACCACATAGGTCCCTTAGTACAAGAATCTACCAGTACTGAATACATGGTCCAAAAATTTAAAATACAAATCTTGTACTATTTCACGTTCAACTAACAAAATTATACATAACATAGCCAAATCTTCACGTAGATATGCATATTGGGAAATTTTACATTTTTTCCTTTACCTTACTGTCTGCACTTCCTGCAATATATATTTAAAATCACAAAACGAGGGTTGGACCGAAATGTCTAGTGAGTTCCCCTTTTATGCTATTGCAGGATGAATATCACCAAAACTTTATGTAAACAACTTTTCATATATAACAAATATATGAACAAGTAAGAGCATATCTACCAGTATTTTTTACCTTTCAAGCCAAACTCTCTGCTTGCAAGTAATACATCAAAATCCCAAATAGATTCGTACTAACCAGGTTTATCATAGTGTCACTTTTAAACCTTTCAAATTTAAACAAGGTTTATTCAAAGTTTTAGGCCAAACCTGTTATTTCCTTCTCAATAACATTCAGACTATGATTTCCAATAAGAACCCTGATCCTAAACCTTTAAATCACAAAGAAATAAAGATTCCAGATCATGGTAGTCTTAAAGGATATAATAGTAAGAGTTATATTACATAATACACATACAAATGTCATCCTTATATCCAAAGGTACACCTCTCCTTGATATGCCACCCTTATCCCATTGTACACCTCTCCTTGATATGCCACCCTTATCCCATTGTACACCTCTCCTTGATATGCCACCCTCATCCCATTGTACACCTCTCCTTGATATGCCACCCTTATTTCCTCATCAAAACATTTTGTAAAACAATTCCGTATTGAACAAACCGCAGTCATAAATGTTCCAATGGAATATCATTAGTTCAAAAATCATTCTTATAAAAAATTCCCATTTTGTATAACAATGATAAAATAACAATTTATATAAACATTACATAAGTCAAAGTGCAAATCCAGTCAACTTAGACTTGGTCGGACTTCATCTCCGGTCAAGCTTTGGCAGATTTACCAAATCCGGATAACACTATACCTCTACTAAATCGCCTACGTTTTGTCCGATTTACCACTAAACCGGTCCACATATGATTTTGATCGATAAATAAACCGGTCACCTTTTTGGTCGTATTCATACTTCTCCGTTCAAAATACTTGACATGAATTCATAAGTTCAAGAAATCGACCAACACATAAACCGGCTAACCCATCAATCGGATTACTCTTAAACCGGCTGAGACTATGTCCGGTTTACCATTAAATCGTTCAACCCTTACCCGATTTATATCTAAATCGCTCAATACTTTTGTCCGGTTTACACTTTAACCGGGTGGAAGTTCATATAATTCAATTTATGCAATTCATAAAAATACATAAAACGTTTTAACCACCCACCTTATGCAATACTTTTGAAATCAACTTCTTGTAATTCAAACAATAAGCAATTCGGTCAATCCACTCTCTTATTTTAAATTGCCCACTTTCTCAAAAATGGCAAGAAGAATGTGAAGGAGGGTTAACCTCCCTTTTATACCTTTCTCCAAAAGGATATGGCGGCTAAACCGCCTACTCATGCATGCCTTCACATGCATACAAACATATATATTCGCATATATATATATACACACACACACACACTCATTCACACATATCATGCATATATCCATACATGTACATATACATACCTATGCATGTTTATTATGCATATATTTTCTATGCATAAAATTTTCACATACTCACATGATCAAATATAATAATTTATCATGTTGTCACATAAACATTTAACAAATAATCACATATTAATTACCTCGGGTGATAACCAGGATCCAGTTATCACAGGGCCCTTAGCGGTTAACCTTTTGAGCGATGAGGGATCTCATCAGGTAAGCCTTGTGCGATGAAAGAGAGATAGCATAATTGATGTAATAATATAATTAATACCACAATTATTACAATTCAACAACATATACTACATAAATGTAACAATCTTATTTACCCAAAACAATATAAGAACACTCACATTTGCCTAAAACTCAGAATTGTTAGATGCTTCTCCTTTTGTGTTCTTTCAACTTTGCCAAAGATGAATTTTCAAATCAAATGGTAAAACCTCCTTCAGTACCTCCATACTTGCTATATATAGTAAGTAGGAATATATAAAAAAGGGGGAAAGGTTTTGGGGAGGTGTAAGAGAGTACACCTGCCCCATGTGTAAAATTCTCTAAAAGCCCCTTTTATTTTTTCTTAATGACACAATTTACCTCCGATAATTCCATATTACAACTATAACTTAAAACCGAATATTACAATATCCTCTCCTTAGAAGAATTTTATCCCGGAATTCCACTAAGTAAACAAATGAGGATATTTTACCCGTATCTCAGACTCGGGTTCCCAGGTGGCTTCCTGCCCCTTATGATAACGCTATTGTGAACTTTCACTAACCCAATTTCTTTATTCTGCAATGCTTTTACTTTAAAGTTGGTAATGGTTTCAAGGGCACGGCTACTTTTGGGTTCGCTAGACACTTTCTTAAATTTGACCCATGAATACGCCACTTCCCCAATTTAGTCAAGGATGGAAATGATCCAATATATCTTGGGCTTAACTTGCCCTTGTTTCCAAAGCGAACCACTCCTTTCCAGGGTGATACTTTCATCATTACTTTATCACCGACTTGAAACTCAATCGGCTTCCGACATTTATCAGCGTAACTTCTCTGTCGATCTTGGGCTACTTTCATTCGTTCCTGAATTTGATTAATTTTATTTGCTGTTTGCTGAACTATTTCAGGTCCAGCCAACTGT